CCTCTGATGATGAGCGCTAGTGTCGTGGTAGCAACATGCTATGTGTTTACATCCATCGCTGCCATGTTTGTAATGACTTATCATGAGAACAAACGTATTCACGCGTGACTTTAATAACATTTCTTACTTAATGGAAACACAGCAGTTGTGAAACTGTGTTTTTTCAACATTAACAGAATATTGACAAAGTTTTGTGCACATTTGCATTGGAAACGCAGCTTGTGTCATTTGGACCGCACAAAGTTTATCAGCAGATTTTGCCTCGCCGTGCGTCTGGTTTTTTTTTTTTTTGGTGCTCGTCAGGAAGGCAGCTGTTTTTTTTTTCAGCCTGCCACTGTGTTGTGTGTCACTAACTGCACTGCTGTGTGTGAGTCTGGGACTTGTTTCACTCTGGTAATCCCTCCGTCTGAGCAACTGTTCTTGGTGTATGCCCCCTCACCCACCCTTCCTTTTCAGGACCACTGAAGCGTCTTTCTGCACTTGCTGTCTTTCTGTCACCCAGTCTGGCCCCAAAAACCAGACTTTCTTGCTTTCCCACACACAGGTTATCAACCGCACATTATCGTTTTCATGAGACGTTACTTCTCCTTCCTTTTCTCGTTGCCCAGCTAGTCACACCTGCGTCGCAGTATAAACTTAATAAACCTTACCCGTTTCAACCCGTTTCTTTTCTCTCTCGCCTCCTCCACCCTCGTTTTCCTCCTACAGGGAGAACCACAGCGAGATCGAGCGTCGGAGGCGGAACAAGATGACCGCTTACATCACAGAGTTGTCTGATATGGTGCCGTCGTGCAGCGCGCTGGCACGGAAACCAGACAAGCTGACCATCCTGCGAATGGCCGTGTCCCACATGAAGACTCTCAGAGGAACTGGCAACACCAACGCTGACGGGTCGTACAAACCGTCCTTTCTCACCGATCAGGTAAATCTGACAGTGGAGAATGCTGTAGATGTTAACGTGCCTGTGACATCAAGTTGTTTTCTAATGAACATGAATGCATTTTTGGAAAGATAACATTGAAAATCTATTTGGAAAAAATATTCACGCTGCTGAGGTGAACCATTGTTGTGATATTCGCATGTGAAGAAACAGGAAGTGATGTCAAAGGGGAATGTCTGAATGTAAACAGCATCACTACAGCAGCACAGACTATAGAGAACAATTTGATGTTTCTTTACATCATTTTGTGTCACTATCAGAGAGATTTAGAGTTCAAATAATATTAGTTAAAGAGTAACTTACCCCATAGTTAACTTTTTTTAGCTGATAAACTGTCTAGAATGTGTCTAAAATGTTATATAGTACTGTTTCTGTGCTAATTTTGATGTTTTTGTGTGTATTTGTCCAAATCTGTAATATTTGGTCTAAAAATGTCTTTTTGCTGCTCATATGGGTGGAGCAGTGGTAC